ATGAAAGTCAAACATAATTCAGACCCTTATAGCTTTTTGTCCATAAACTTTTACAAAATTCGGTAAACATATATTAATACGCAGTATAGGGTTAAATGATTCTGATCAAAACTGGTTTGACATTCTACATAACTTTTTTTCATGTCATAGAACCACAATTATATGAATACGAACAAATGGTAATAAATCATAGGTAAATCAGTAAAATAAACATATACAATTCAGAGTCTATATGGATGTAAATAAATAAAATATAATAAAATATATAAATTGGTTATTAAATATAATTATAAATACTAAATAGACTTAGGAAGTTAGGAATGGAATGAATGGATATAACTTTATAGTAACACAATTGTCAGAGTTGGTAACGTTTGTTTTCGTTTTAGATTACCTTTGACCAGAATCCTGCTACTTCAATAGCATTTTGATTTTCTGACAGAAAGTCTTCATTCGAACAKGGAGATGGGCAGAGCTTTGACAGTTCAGTAGGTGTTCCATGTCTTGTCCATACCACACTCCCATTTTATGGAGATGTCTTGAAGGATGTCCCATTTCTTTAGGTTATTYTTGGATCTGTAGATCTGTCCACTCCTAATYTAAGTMTATCTAAGGATCTATAAGTTGGCCCAGTCTGATTCGTGTCCTGCTGGCAGTATTTCCGCTGTTTCAGACTCTAGTTCATTGTTTTCCTTGGAGAGAGAGTGTTTCCACCTTTTTCTTCGTATCTACCTCTTTGGGGTATTTTTTTCAGAGATTTTTTCGTTTTAAGAAAACTCTTTTTGAATTTAAGTCTGAAATTAGGTATGTTTTGTCTATGTGACTWTGTGTAAAGGATTCGTTTATCAGTTTCTGCTTTTGTCCTTTCGCAGTCTGTTGCGACCTCCCGGCGGATGTTCGGTGAGGTAATACCAGCGAGTTGGTAAGATTAATTTAGTATGGGTAGTATGGAGCCTAATTGTTTTGCGTGGACAGGCCTGATCCACACAGGACTGGCAAATTCTTCAGCAGAGAAGCAAACTRATAATGCAGAATTCGTAATGTATGTGTTGGCCCCACACATAAATATTAAATAATGGTGTTTATATGTTAGGGATGATCTAGAAATTCTAGCATAACGCCTATGTATGTGGGGTATGCAAAATTTCCTAATACAATTCCTTGGCATTCG